GAAGAGAAACCCAGTGGTTGCCCAGAGCCCCTCTCCCATGCAGCCCAGAGGCCCCCACGCCACCTCCTGCTGCCCGAGGGCTGGCCACCCTCCCCGGTCTACCGGGACAACACCTGCCTCCACAATCCATCCCTCTCCGCAGCCAGAAGGGGAGCCTTCCAAGACACCAGTGAGATCACGCCTTTTATTAAAATACCCACCGGCTTCCCACTGCTCTTAGAAAAGAGCTTCACAGTGAAAGCCCCGCAGGACCCCGCCGCTCGGGACATCTCGGCCCATGTCCCCTCTCTCCACTGAGCCACACTGGCCTCCTCACTGTTCTCCAAAAACGTCAAGCATATTCCCATCTAGGGACTTCAGCCCTGGCTGATTCCCGCCCCCAAAACAGGCCTACAGGAAGTGGTCCGTAAACAGTTGTCACAAAGCCCATGCACCACTGGTCATACCAAAGTTCCCCTGGTGACCATGGGCAGCCATCTACCCTGTCTGAGCCCAGGGCTGCGGTTTCAGGGGCCTGGGTGAGATGATGGCCATAATGGGGATGTGGGCGTGTCCGGGGGGGTGTGTGTGGAAGAGGCACTCACCATTCTGGAACTCTGCGCCCAGCCGCTTTCACCTCACGCGCTCCACAGCTGCCTGCAAGGGCCCTGCTTGCCAGTCAGGCCCTCAGAGAAACATGACCCCTAGCCAGGCTCCCAGACCAAAGACCAGCTGGGGCAGAGGCCCCCTGGGGATGTCCCCTTCCCGACCCTCTTCATTGTCCCACTCCTAGGGCCTTGCCCCTGCAGTTCCTCTTGCCTGAAAGGCCTCCCTCATTCCTACCATCTGCCAGTCCGGGTCTGCCTACCCTTCCAGACCCCAGTTCAGGACCCATCCAGCACAGAATCTGGAAAGAAGCCCAGATACCCGGAGCCAGAGGGGACCTCAGTTTGCTGCCCCTTCCTTCGCAGCCCCACCAAAGGCAGAGTCCACAGACAGGGTCTGCAGCTCCCCCACTGGGGAAGGACAAATACAAAATCAAGCCGCCAGCGAGGTGAATAGAGGACAGAAAATGCCAGAGGAGGGAAGACCCAGGCTAACTCCAACCAAGTGGGATGGGCCTCAGAAAATCTGAGATAATGGTCATTATGATTTATTGGACAAATAGCTAGCAACACCTACTATGTGCCAAGCATTGTGCCAGGCGTATGAACAGTGAGCCAGACAGATCTGGTCCTGTCCTCAGGGAGCCGACATGCTGGGTGAGGAAGGCACTAATAATAAATAGATATGCAAATAAATAAGAAAGCAGGGTGAAACGAGCAGCTGCTGGACGGCAACTGGGAGGAGCTAAGCCGCCATTTTCCCTCCTTTGCAGGGGGGAGGGGCCCCAGTGCGACCGCGCCAACCCAATGAGGGCGGTATCATTATAGGAGTTGTCCACCAATCCTGGTGGGCCACGCCCCTGAACACGCCCTGAAAAAGAGCCTACCCCTAGTCTGTTTCCTCCCGCTAGATAAACCCCTGTGCCTGTCGATCAGAGAGCCATTTTGGAGAGGTCCCAGGGAGTTCTTTTGCTTTGCCAACCAAATAGCGCCAAGTGAGACCTGGAGTGTAGGAGTGATAGGACATTTGACGGGATATTTGAACAGAGCATGACAGGAAAGGCCATTTGATATGGAGAAAGACCGCACTGTCACACACAGGGAACAGCAAACACAAAGGTCCTGGCTGACTCTGGGCTTAAAGGTCCCCTCCTCCAGGAAACCATCCCGGATTGCTTCTCCTGGTCCCCACTGCATCTGCACACTCTCCCACGAGACCTGCCTGCCTCACCCCTGGATGTCCAAACCTTGGCACAGAGTATGTGCCCCTAAAAGGTAATCTATTGGGTAAGCTAATGAGAAGACGTCTCCATGCTCCGGAGGAATGATCTGTCCCCCAACAGGAAAGGGCTCAGTCTTCTTCAGTGTCTCCAGTGCCAGACGGTACTGGGCATACAGCAGGTGCTCAGTAAATACTGAACAAATGCACAGCTTGGAAAGCGGTGGCAGATGAGGCCAGTGATGGCTTCTGAGGACAAAGCTGTCCTCACACTCCCCTTGGTGCCCTCATGCCCCATCTCCTGGTGGAGGGACGCCCACCCTTGGTCTGCCAGCCAGGGGTCATGAGCCTTCAGCTTGGCCCAACCCAGGAAAGTTTTTCTGCTCCGCTGGAAATAAATGGCTGTTTGCTCCTTTATCTGATTGTCAGCGGTACATTGTTAGGGGGCAAACAGGAGGCAGTCATCTTCCTGTTCCTTTCAAGAGCAACTTGGCAGGTCTAGATCCTGGAGAAGGTGACCCTGGGAGGGGCTGAGTGCAGCCATCACAGGTGTGTGTGTGTAAGTGTATGAGTATGTGAGTGTGCGTGTAAGGGTATGAATGTGTGAGTGCATGAATGTGAATGTGTGTGCCCGAGTGTGAGATTGTGTGTGAGGGTATGAGTGTGTGAGTACATGCAGTGCACATAAGGACACAGAAAAGAGCCTAGGAGAAAATGCACCAAAGTGATTTCTGGGTAACAGAGTCGGGAGCATTTTATTGGCCTTTATACTTTTCTGTATTTTTCTCATTTTCTATACCCAGCCTGTGCTTTTAGAATAAGAAAAGAGCTAAATCTACATCGTATTTTAAGGCCACTGGTGCAAAAGGCAGACAACAGATGGAGAGGAGGGGACAAGGCCTGGAAGAGAAGGGAATGGGGCTTAAAGCAGGCTGTGGGGCTTGGGGAGGACCATGGACCAGAAGACAGGACATGACACAGGGCTCCAGCCTCACTCTCTTACACACTGATTCCTTGTGTGACACTGGCCTCGATTTTCCCACCTGTGTTCTAAGTGCCTTCTGTCTCTGACACTCTGGAATTGTCTGCCCGACATCCCAGGTAGGGCCTAGGCCAGGACAGGCTGGCTGTGGGCAGCAGGTGACATAGAGGGATGGCCAAGCTCATTGTCATCTTTTGCTGGGGGCCTGGGATTGCCCCAACTGTAAATAGGTTGCATCATGGGTTCCTGCTATCTGGAGGGGCCATCTGTGAGCTCTGGTGGCCAGACTAACCTCTACTATTATTGTCTACAAGGTGCCAGTCTAAAGGGTGCAGACAAATGCCAGTAGAGGTTATTGTTAGCTGGGGCTGGCTCAGGTGAGGAGGTTCACAGCGTCCCAGAGTTGGGTAGAAGCTTCTTCCGAGGTTGGTCTTTCCTGTCCCCTGTCCAGCCAGATGGCACTTAAGTAGGACCTTGACTGTCTAAAACCAAAAATCCAAACCCGTTGCCAACGAGTTCACCCTCCAAGTTGGAGCTGTGCAGAAACCTTTAAGAAAACCCCGAGGCCTGGTCATTGCCACACCATGCCATGCCCTACTCTTCACGCCCTTCCCTAGCTTCCTTCACTCTGCTTCTGGGGAGAGGACTGGGGGCAGGTAGGAGTAGAGAAGGGGTCCCCACACTGGGTGTGGCCTTGGCCCTGCTGTCAATGTTTTCTTCACCAAATGACAGAACCAATCCACAACCCTCCCCACTTCCTGAGTTCTCCACCTGAGATGCCGCCCAGGGCAGGATGTGGTGGAAGGAACAGAGGGCTTTGACTCTGAAAGAGCTGGGTTTGAATCCTAGCTCTAGCTGTGAAACCTTACCCCTCCCTGAGCCTAGAAAGTTGTTGTCCAGCTCAGATGAGCTCATGGGCTGGAGAGGGCTTTGGAAACAGCCTGGGCTGAAATGGATCTTGCTTCTCGCCCTTGAAAAGGCCACAGCCACCCCACGCCCTGCCCAGCCTGCTCTCCTTCCCAGTCCAAGCTGCACCCCTTGCTCCAGCCCCGCGACTCACTTCCAAATCTGCACAGGCATCACAGACGCTCAGCTCTGGAGGGGCAGGACCCCGAGGCACAAGCATCCAGGGCTGAGTGTCCCCACTGGGCACCCCAGTTAAATGAAGCCACTTCCTGGGGGCAGCCAATGAGGCTCTGGAGGGGACATCTCCCCCCAACCTTGAGTGGCAGCCAAGGTCACCGAGCCCTTGGCAGGCAGGACCTACTGATAATTATACTATTGAGCCAGAGGGAGGGGAATAGTGTCTTAGACTTCCAAGACTTGTGCTCCAGTCCCATCTCTGTCATTAATTTGCTGTGTGACCATGTGAGGACCCTCTTTGAGCCTCAGCTTCCCGTTAAAAAAAAATAAACACATGAGCAGATTACAGCAGCTGAACCCTGGGGCACTCCTAGCGCTCATCTCGGGACTCTCAAAGGTAGGTAGGCCCCTGGCACCCCCCAAGGCAGGTCTGAAGGGGAGCATGGCAGAGGGTCTCGTTCATGTGACTGTCCCCAGTGGGCATGACTGAGCAATGGCCTGAGGGGTGAGCTGTGTAGGTCATGGCCCTGCAAATTCCCTTCGTCCCTGCAGGCCTCATTGTCCTGGGCCTGGCTTTGATGGCTCTGCCAGGGAAGGGGCCACCCCAGCTGCAGACCCCACCCCTGCAGAAGCTAGCATTCTCAGAGGGGAGCCTCCCATGGGAGCAGCCAGGCCAGGGCTCCTAGAGAGAGCAAGGCCTCAGCCAGCCAAGCGTCCACCTGAGGCCCTGACTGAGTGGAGGGCGCTCTTCCTGAGGGGTGGCAGGAGTCCTTTCCATATACCTCTCTGGGTTGCTGTAAGGCTCAAATGCAGCAGGAAGCCAAGTGGTCCCCAAGAAGAACCCAGGGTGAAGCAGATGGTTCTGGGCAAGAAGGGGGCAGAGTGGCTGAAGAGTCTCGGCTATGGTGCTCGGACCCAGGTCTGACCAGCATGCCTGGGCCAGACCCACAGCTCCTGTACTGCAGGAGAGCCATTCTCCACGCCCCACCTCCTGCACTGCAGGCCCCTACAGCTCAGGTAACGTCCTGGTCATTCAAGTGGATCTACGGGGGGGACAATATTGGGGTACAGCATGCAAATGTAGTTGGCCTCAATAACCCCTGGCTCCTGGGTACCCCCTGGTCTTGGACGCTCAGATGATAGAGTTTCCACCATGGTGTAGAGAGGACAGTGGCACCAGGAAGGAGGTGATGTAGGGGAACTCCCTGCCAGAGAGGAAGAGGGAAGCCCATCCCTCCCTCCCTGTGAAGTGTGAAAGGGAGATGGAACTGGGGGTGGAGAGAAAGAAGCCACACATACACCCCTCAGGACCAAGTGTGGGGACACTGAGAAGGTTACAGAGACCCCTGAGAATGCAAGGCCTGTAACCCTTCTCCCTACCCCCTCACCCACGCGCTAGGAAGCCTGCATCTAACATGGCAGCATGGTCAAATGTCGCGTAGAATTGACAGGCTGCTCTGACTCTCCAGGCCACAGGTGATGAGTGGAAGACCCGGAAACAGATGTCTCGGTGGTGAGAGGGCTGGCAGCCCAGCAGAGGCCTGGGTGGGGTGCCTCTGGGCCAGAGGATTACAAGTCTGGTGGGGAGCCATGAGCCCCGAGAGAATGAGCTATTGACCACACAACTGTCTCCCTTGCACAAGGGCCAGAACAGTGTGTGAACACAAGCTGCCTGGCAGTGATGGCGCACAGAAAGAGCAGAAGTAGAAGCCAAACAGCCACTGCTGCCAAAGACCTGCTGGGCCTCGCTCTTCCTGTGAGACCAAACCAAGTTTCGGAGCCAGCCAGCTCGTCCCAGCAGCGTGGCCCACTTCCCACATCAGCATAGGGCCTCGAAGCCCCTGCCCTGGAGCTGCAGCCTGTCACCTGCAAACAGTGCACCCAGGTCTCCTGGGGGAGGGACTGTCCTCTCTGTGTCCCACCCAGGGCCTTGCCAGGGCAATGTGACCTGGTCTTTGAGACGTGGGCTCCCTGGCCTGGACACACAGCCCAACCTCACTGCCTGTGGTACTCCAACATCTGAAAAAAATTTTTTCTCCTGGCTTCTGGCAAGGAGCCAGAAAGAAGACAGGTCAGCTTCACAGAGAGGCAGCGAGGGAAGGCCCACCCCCTCCTGGGCCTAGCAGGGTGTCACCAGCAATGGCAGGACCCCATAAGCCTGATCATCCTGCTGCAGGACTGGAGAGAAGGGGTGGGGGGCACCTCAGAACTTCACACGGAAGCGCTTCTTCACGGAGGACACAAAGGTGGCCCTCGGAGGCTCTGGGTGATGCTCAAGGGCAGAGGCAACAGACAGGTTGCCGACCTTTGCGAGATGGACTCAGACTCCTGGGACAGAACCGAGAGGGTGGACTGGGCTGTGAAGGCTGACCAGGGCCTCAGCGAGGACTGGAGCCTTAGGGAAGTGGGCGAGGCTGATGGGGAGAGCAAGACAGAGGCTGGAGAGGTGGCCACAGGCATGCTGGTGCAGGGGTTGGGCGCAGTCTGCTCCCTGTTGTGCTCCAAGCCCTTCCCGAAGTGGTAGGGCATCATGAAACCATGATGGCCTGGCTGGTCTCCAATCTTGAATACCGTGGAAAAGTCAGGCTGCTTGGTGGGCATCAGGTCATTGAAGTGCAAGCTTTGGTAGACTGGAGGTGAGATCTGTGGGGTACAGAGCAGGGGAGCATGGAATGGGGGGGGACCTGTCAGAGCCAAGAGCATCCGGGCCAGGAGCAGGCTCACAGGGAGGATGGGGCCAAGGCAAGGCTTCTCCCTTCAACAAGACCCTGAGGTCTCCCCAAGTGAAAGAAGTCTCCAGATACCAGGTTACTGCTAACGAAGCAGCCTGTGGGATCCGCCAGCCTGTTTGCACCAGGCCCGTCCTCAGCCCCTTCTCTAGACACACTCATCTGGTGCAAAACCCATTAAGGTCAGCACCAGGACTGTCCCCATCTTAGAACAAGGACTCAAGCTGGACCCTAGTGGGGCTCAGGAGCACTGAGCTCCTCGACATGCTCCTTCCTCTCTGTTAGCATCGCCAAGCTGGGCCTGAGGCCCACCTGTGGGAATGGGGCAGGGATGCCGAGTGAGCGACCCCTCTCCCCAGCCCAGACGAGGAGTCCTATGAGGAAGTGGCATTTGCATTATCTTGCTTATTTCTAGTCCCCACCACTGGGGGAGTGTGGGGAGCTCCCATAATCCCTCTATGGAACATGAAGAAAGCAAGGTTGGGAGAAGTTGGGATCTGCCCAGGCAGGAGTCAGGGTGGGACTCCAACTTGGCCTTTCCCTCTTTCACACCCAGAGGAAAGCCACTCTCTTTCCACTCACTCATTGCTTACTTGCTGTGTGCCTTGCACCAGGAGACCCCGTGTCTGCTCTTGAGTAGACCACAGTAGTGGGAACACAAACAAGGGCTGTAAATACACTAGTAAGCAAATGAATAGCTGCAGACTATATGGTAAATGCTTTGAAGGCTACAGACAGGCACCAGGCCCAAGGAGGACTCACTCCCAGAGGCCCAATGAGGTTTATCCTCAAGAACAAAACCTGTCACTGTGGCCTCAACCAGGGCCTTATCAAACCAGCCAGTCAGACCAGCTACATCCCAGAACTGTCTGTTGCCCAGAATCCTGTTAAAGGGTGGATATTCCTGTCACCCCCACATGGACACAAGGGTGGCCACCGGTGGAGATGGCTACAGGCGCAGCATCTTGGACAGCCACTGATACCGCCTTACCTGATGCTTTATGCAGGCATACTGCACATTGGTGGACAGAAGCTCGGGACTCCGCGACCGTTCCTTGGGCTTATATGCTGCTCCCAAAACTTTGCTCACCTGCAGGAGTCACAGGCCAGAGTGAAGGCTCAGGGTTGAGGCTTGGGGGTCCCATTCCCCCCCCCCCACACATCTCCCACCCAGCCTAACCTGCTTGTCCTTGGACTCCCAGTTGCGCCAGCTGTTCTCAATGTCTTCTAGGGAGTACTCTCTACCCCAAGGTGACATCACGGCCATCCTCTGCAGCTTGGCCCAAGCCTCAGCCTCCATGTCTTCCTTCCCATGCAGGAAGTTCATCAGCACAACCTGCTCCCGCCGCTGGTAGGCCAGGGCCTCAGCAAGATCCCGCTCCTCCCTGCCATGAGGGGATTTCCTTTACAAGATCTCCTCCCCCTGGGAGGCAGGGTGGACCTCACAGGAACCCCAAGAGGGTCTCCTCATCCTAGGCCTGATTCTCTCCAACCTTCTCATCCCTCCCTCATGGCCATACTGTCCAGGGCCCATCATTGAGCAAGTGTTCAATTAACATTGTTAAATCCCACATTAAACTAGCCCCCAGCAAGTCCTGTGACCATTCCCACCACCCCTGAGCTCTCCTTCATGGAGGCCTGACACCCCTTCCATCTACCCACTCCATTTTGGGCTTACCTGGGCCTCATCTTGTGGAACATGTAAACATGCTCTTCCTCCTAGGAAACCCTACCTCCAACTTGTGTGATACTCATCCACACGACTGTCAGGGTATATCCCTGACAGGGAGCATAGGAGCCACAAAGACTCTGTGGTTGCCTGGCAAACTCCTACTTATACATCAAAACCCAAATCTCCTCTCGTACGACACCCTGCTTATTTGATCCACCCGATCAGTGGATTGTCCTCTGAGCCATCCCTGTTCTTAATACTCTCATCACTTATCACATAGAACTGCAGTCATGAGTTTGCATGTCCGTCTCTCCAAGTGGACTGAGTTCTCTGAGGCAGGACTGGTGTCTGGATTATACTGGATCTCTAGAACCTAGCACAGGGTCTGACAGTCAGCAGGACCTCAATAAATATTTTTGAATGAACTAAAATTATTTGAGACTTGGTCAGGAATGAGGGTGGGGTGTAGACTGGGGAGGAACTTGTAGGGGAAGGAGCAAGTAGCAAGCAGCCTGCTCTTCCTCATGAATCAGAAAAATAGCACAAGTGTGTGCTTGGGACCAGAGCTCTGGGAAGGGGCCTCTGGCTACTTAGAAATGGCCTCTGCAGGTAAGCCTTCCCTGGAAAATATGAGCCTTGCTGTAGGCAGGACCCAATCTAAGAACTTGGGTTTTTGTATTTTCCTCCTTTTACTGTTCAATCTTTCAATTGAGCTGGGGTAGAACAGGGCCTCAGGCCCTCAAGCCATAGATGCCATCTGTGGAGTAAAGCTGTCTACAGGCCTCGAGTCTCCAGCATTCTGAGGGCTCTCACCCACCATGCTCAGGACCACCCAACCCAGATGCAGGCTTCCTGGGACCTTGGGAAACTCTCAGCATCCCCCTCTTCAGGCTAGAGAAGACCAGGTAGGCTGTGATAACTCACCGAAACTCTGGCTGGGAGACCTTCGGAATGGCATCCTGGGAGTCAGCCATCTCCTCCTGTTCATGATCACCATCCAGCTTGGCATCCTGCAGTCTGCTCCAAACACTCAAGCCAAATGTCCCTGAGATTTAAACAGAACCTGCTCAGTAAAAGGGACTGGCATACCCGCCTCCTCTGCCCCTCTGCTCCTTACCTTCCATCCTCAAGAGTCAACCAGTGACCCCTTATGCCCAGACCCAGCCCACATATCCATCCAAATATTGACTGCCCACTATATGCCAGGCATTACACTGGATACTCGATATCTGGAGAAATCATATACCAGGCCCAGGGGATTCCTGGAGCATAGGCCTAAAGCATCCTGCCCCAAGTGTGGGGTGAGATGGGGACAGTAACTATGGCAATGTCTGAATGATCCTCTTTCGAGCTTTAAGTAGCTCATGTATAAAATGACAATGGCATAAAATGACACGACGTCCATTAGATGTGAGGTGTTTTGTTTTGTTTTATGGAGGGAGAAGGAGCTGCTAGAGTAGAAAGTAGGTAGTGAGAATAGAGAAATAAGAGTCCTATTTCCAGGCAGGGTATAGTAAGTAGTGGTAGGCCACTTTCCTACGGCAAAATTAAAAAAAAAAAAAAAAAGATACATAACAAAGTCTTATTTTTCAAGTCATTGTAGAGCTGTAGCTAAAGAGAATTAGATGAACTAAAAGTACAGAGAGGGAAGAGTCCTTCCAAGATGGACTGAGATGAGGAGGTGTTTTCCTCACTGGGGGAATTTCCATCTGGACACAGGCTGAGTGAGAATCAGACTTGGCTTAGGTAAAAGGAATCTACTGGAAGGAAGAGAAACCAGCAGAGCTTCTGACGTCCATGCTGACTGCCATGATGGATTAAATATAGTGGAGTTCCAAATGCACTGAGGAGACTGGTATCCTGGGGGTTGGGCTGGAAAGGCAGAGTAAGATCATTGGGAGACAGAGTCCTGCTGGAGGGAGAAGTCTGCAACAAACAAGAGATTTCACCCTGAGACATATGAAGAAAGAGGTGAACTGAGTCCACCTAAAGCTCTAATCCAGCCCTGACCCAGCTCAATTCCTGATTGGATTGAGGTAATCAGCCCTTTACAGAGTAAAGAGCAAATGCTCTAGGGAGAAATAACATCAAGTTCAGTCTCTACAACGCTTTTATACACAAAGTCTAAGAAAAATTTTTAAGTATTAAAAAACCAAACCAGTTACTGTCAAGTTGATTCTGACTCAGTGACCCTGTATGTTGCAAAGTAGAACTGCATTCCACAGGGTTTTCAAGGCTGTGACCCTTCAGAAGCAGGTTGCCAGAACTTTCTTCCAAGGTCCTTCTAGGTGGGTTTGAACCTTCAACCTTTCAGTCAGTAGTAGAGCACTTAACTGTTTGTGTCACCCAGGGACTCCTTTTTTAAGTATAAGATATGTGAAAAGGCAAAGAAGTGTAACCAGTAATCAAAAGAAAAAAACAGGCATTAAAAGCAGATCCAAAAATGATTCAGGCATTGGAGTTAACAGATAAAGACTTAAATAACTACTATAAATAATTTTATATACAATAAAGGAAAATGTGAACAAAATGGGTGAAAAAAATTCAACAGAGAATTAGAATCTATAGGAAAGAATCAAATGGACATTCTGGAACTAAAAAATACAATATCTGAAAATTTAAAAGAATTGAATGGATTTAATAGCAGGCTGCATACAAAAGAAGACAGGACTAGTGAACCTGAAGGTAGGTCAGGAGAAAATATCCAAACTGGAGTACAGAGAGGGGGAGAAAAAAATGGAAAGAACAGAATAGTACATGAGAGACATATGAAACAAAGTCAAATGGTCTAGCATACATAAAGCCAGAATGCTGCAATGAGAGTAAAGAGAGATGGGACAGAAGCAATACTGAAAAAATAATGTTGGAATTTTTCAAAACTGCCTGACAGAGATTGGAGAAACCCTGAGAGTATGACCCCCAGACACCCTTTTAGCTCAGTAATGAAGTCACTTCCGAGGTTCACCCTTCAGCCAAAGATTAGACAGCCCCATAAAACAAAACAAGACTAATGGGGCACAACAGTCCAGGGACAACAACGAGAAGTCAGGAAGGGACAGGAAAGCTAGTAATAGGGAACCCAAGGTCGAGAAGGGAAAGTGTTGACATGTCATGGGGTTGGTAACCATTGTCATAAAACAATATGTGTATTAACTATTTAATGAGAAACTCTTTGTTCTGTAAAATTCATCTAAAGTATAATAAAAAAAGATTTAATTGACTACAAAATGTAAAAAAAAAAAAATTCTCAAAACTGATGAAAGATCTCAACCCACTGAGTGAAAAAGTTCAATGAACTCCAAGAAGAATAAATACAAATAAAATCACATTTAACCAATCATAGTCAACTGCTGAAAGCCAAAAGCAGCCAGAGAAAAAAGACAAATTACCTTCAAAGGAGCAAAAATACAATTGAAGACTGACTTCTCAGTAGAAACTATGGAAGCCAGAAGACAATGGAATGGTCGCTTTAAAGTGCTGAAACAAAATTGCCAGCCAAGAATTCTATACCCAGCAATATAATCTTAAAATTTTAAGGCAAATTGAAGATGTTTTCAGATAACTAAAAGCTTAAAGAATTTATCATTGGTATATTGACACTGTAAGAAATACCAAAGGAAGTTCTTCAGGCTGAAGGAAAATAATTCCAGACAGAAGCAAAGGGTACCAGAAATGATCAACATGTGGGTAATTATGGAAGGAAACTGTTTAAAGCAACATTAATAACAATAACCTGTGGGAAGACATAGATATGTAGAAGTGAAATATGTGACATAATAGTACAAACAGCAGGGATGGGGAAATGTAACGTTCTTACTTAGCAAGTGGTACTAGGTCAAGAGTGCATATTATGATCTCTTGGGTAACTACTAAAAGAATAATACAGAAAGATATGATTAAAAATCTAATGGAGTAGAAAAACAGAATAATTTTTAAAATACTTGATTAGTCCAAAAGAGGGCAGAAAAGGAGGAATAAAGGAAAAAAAACAGATGGAATAAACAGAAAACAAGCAACAAGAGGGCAGACTTAAACCCAATGCATAAATAATTATATTTAAATGGACTAAGCATCCAATTAAAAGATAACGATTATCAGAGAGAATGAATAAAAAAGACTCTATTAAATGCTGTTTACAAGAGACACATTTAAATATAGGGACATAGACAGGTTGAAAGTTTCTTTAAAATTGGAAAATAGAGAAACAACCATTTTCCCTCCCTTCTTTTAGGCTGACAGTATGTACCTGTGTGTGAGGTCAGGACACTGAGCAGAAGACAGATGGCTGGTGTTTGGAGGGAGAAGGAAGGCTCTCAACCCTCTTCTCAAGCCCTTCTTGGGTCCTCCCCAAGAACAGATCATTTGCAAATCTGAATAGGTTGGACTCTAGAATACTGTGTGGGCCACATTTGTTAGTGAAATGGGATCACTTGTTTAAAATGCACATGGAAGAAGCACACAGATGAGTGTGCGTGAGTGCTCTCACCTCTGGTCTCTAGTGGCCAGCTGTGGTAAGATTTGGATTTGTTAAGTGGTATTTTGATTTCCCACTGGCCACCTTCCCTTGTGGAAGGATGGGTATCTGGGACAAAGAAGGTTTCAGATATTTGAGAGTCCTCGGACATAATATAATAAAATTCTATCAAGGACTAAATTAAAATGTGGCATCTGAAGGCAGTGGTCCTTTGTCACTATTTTTGGGGAAAAATAAAGATAGGTCCAGTCAAGATAGATCAGATAAACACACATATACACTCCAACACTCCACTCTAAACATAGTGAAGCATTGACTGTGGAGAAAAAAAGAGCTTGTTTTTAATATTACAGCCTAGCTCCAAGCAAGAAAAGCAAATATCCAAGTGCCAGAAATAAAAAGGGAACCCAGAACTGTAGCGGAGATAGTGATTTGAAACCAAAAAGCCCGCTGGAGGACCAAGATCAGAGATACAACTTGAGGGGAAAACTGTATGAATTTACTAAAATTCATCCAACTGCACACTTTAAAATGAGTGAAGTATAGTGTATGTATTATACCTTAGTAAAGCTGTGGAAAGTCGGTAAATTTTTAAAAACTAAGCAGTAGCTAGACACACCTAAATAGATAACAAATAAGTTGGGAAATACATCTAGTATCACCCAAAATACAGCATACAGATCAATAATACAGGAAATATGAAAGAGAAGGCAAGAGTCAGAGAAGATAAAAAATTCCAATATGTCTCAAAGGCATTCCGGCAGAGGTGCTATTTGGAGATAATGGCTGAGAATGTTGCTTAATTGAAGACTTAAAAGGTTTAAAATTTTAAAATCACATTAGGCCAGAGAAATAAATTCACACCTACACAAACTATAGTCAAACTTCAAAATAGCTAGGATAAAGTGATAATCATAAAAGCTACCAGAGAAAAAGCTTGATTACCTCCAAAGGAACTACAACCACACTGGCCACAGATTTGTTTTAAACATTATACCAGAATGTAACAGAAAATCAGGTTCAGCTGAGAATTCTGTATCCACCTATAAAATGGTAGTAGTAGTAGTAGTAGCATCAGAACCTGTCTAACTTCAGGGGGAATAAGAATTACCATCAGCCCAAGGAAGATTCCTATGAGGTGGAGGTCAGACACATCTCCCCTCTCCAACCCTTTCACCAATTTCTGACAGCAGCCGTTCTCCCCACAGCACTCTCTACTTCTTTGCTGTGTTCGATAATCTGTTGCAATGGCCACACAGAACTCACAGACCATACTTACTGTTAAGTGGTTTATTAAGGAAGTAACAGACTGCAACTCAGGATTAGGATTAGGAAGCACGTAAGCAAAGTCTCCCTTCTTCAGTGCAGGACAGCTCTCTCAGCTCCTCATGGCCATGCAGGCCTCCTCTCAGCCTCCTCAGGACGGGCCTCTTCTCGGGGCCCTGAGGACAGGCTCCTTTTGGCCCTACCATCTGTCACCACGGATTGTGCCACTGGGCCCCTTCCGGGCCTATCACTGTCTTCAGAGTTACAGCCCTTGACCCACATTACAGCCCTTTTAGGAGGTTCCT